TTGGAGCCAGCCTGAGATCCTGTCTTTAAAAAAACCACAAACAAACAAAAAACAAAAACAAAAAACATGTAATCCTAGCCAGTTGGGAGATTAAGTCTGAGGATTGTGGTTCAAAGCCAGCTCCTGCCAGAAAGTCTGGGACATGCTTATCTCCAATCAGCCACTAAAAAGCCAGAAGTGGAGTTGTAACTCAAGTGATAGATTGCTAGCTTTGAGCAAAAATAGCTCAGGGACAGCTCCCAGGTCCTGAATTCAAGCTCCAGGACCTATACCAAGAAGAACAAGACGAAGGAGGAGGAGGAGAAGGAGGAGAAGTCGGAGGAGGAGGAGGAGGGGGAGGAGGAGGACGGGAGGACAAGGAGGAGAAAAAAATGAAGTTCAGATTGGAACAGGAAAACAAAGGGCTCAAAGAAAAACAATTCTAAGAGAGAAAGGGAAGAAAAGCAACTTTCTAGACTGATTTACCTGGATGTTTGATCATGATCATATGGAGTGATCTTTGTAGCTCTGGCAATAATTAGTAGTGTTAACTTCATAACAGATATAGAAAAATGTAAGCAAAAGAAAAAGGCAAAAGAACTCTGAAAAAAAAATATCTACTCAAGAGGCTGAGGTCTGAGTATTGTACTTCTACATCAGGACAGACAGAAAAGTCCATGACACTCTTATCTCCTTATCTCCAATTAACAACCAAAAGTGTGAAGTAGAGTTGGGGCTCAAGTGGTAGAGCATCGGCCTTGGTGAAGAAACTAAGGGACAGTACCTAGGCCCTGAGTTCAAGTTCTAGAACTGGCATATATACACAAAATTATTTGAGAAAGAAAATGTAGTGGTGGTATATTTGTATAGTCTAAATAGTGTGGATACTAAATATTTATTTTAAAATTGACCTATAATTCTACTGGGAGAGAATGGGAAGCATGAGAGTAGACAAGAGAAGTATTAGTTATTTTCTATTCTAGGATGTCAATAGAAGTTTCAAGGTCAGTAAAACTAGACTAACTGTATAATATGGAAATATTAGGTACCAAAGCCAATTAAAAGACTAATTACAGGGGGCTGGGAAGGTAGCTCAGTGGTAGAGCGCTTGCCTTGCATGCATGAGGCCCTGGGTTCGATTCCTCAGCACCACATAAGCAAAAAGAAAAAAGCCAGAAGTGGCGCTGTGGCTCAAGTGGTAGAGCGCTAGCCTTGAGCTGAAGATCTGAGGGACAGCGCCCAGGTCCAGAGTTCAGGCCCCATGACCGGACCCAAAAAAAAAAAAAAGAATAATTACAAACTGGGTGCCAGTGGCTCAGGGCTGTAATCCTAGCTACTCAAGAGGCTGAGATCTGAGGATCTCAGTTCAAAGTCAGCCTGGGCAGGAAAGTCTATGACACTCATCTTCAATTAACCACCAAAAAAGTCTTAAGTAGAGCTGGAGTTCTTGTGGTAGAAGGTCAGTCTTCAGTGAAAAAGCTATTGGTCAGTGCCCAGGCCCTGAGTTCAAGTCATAGTACAGAGAAGGACAGAGACAGAGACAGAGAAATGTTAGCACTTTCTGCCATCTCTTTCTGCCAATGAGATCATTGAAGGTTTTTTTCCCTAGTCTATCTTCAAAGTCACCATCCAGTTTTTAACTGCTGATATAGTACGAGTACATGGTTGGTTTTTAAATCATTGTTGAGGGACTAGGAATGTGGCTTAGTGGTAGAGTACTTGCCTAGCATGCATGAAGCCCTGGGTTTGATTCCTCAGTACCACATAAACAGAAAAAGCTGGAAGTGTCACTTGACTCAAGTGGTAGAGTGCTAGCCTTGAGCAAAAGAAGCTCAAGGACAGTGCTCAAGTCCTGAGTTCAAGCCGCAGGACTCACAAAAAAAAACAAAAAACATATATATATATATATATACATATATATATACATATATATATATATATATACATGTATATATATACAGATAGATAGATAGATAGATAGATGGATGAGCACAAAGCTGGGAAAATTGTTGTTAATCTTACAGGAAACCAGGGTGGGTCATAATTCCTGGATTTGATGTGCAACTCAAAGGCCTAGAAAAATGCAGGAAGAATCTACTCTCTCCCATTAGTTTGGTTTCTTTGTGCTCACAACTTCAGCAGGAATCAGACCATGAAAAAGGAAGATAAAAACATAGAGGGAAAATCCTGGGATTCTTTTGCTATGTATATATATAAACTCAGATGCTTCAGTGGGGGAGGGGTAAATGTGTGTGTGTGTGTGTGTGTGTGTGTGTGTGTGTTTAAGGAGATTTTTTTTAAAAATGCAGATAATTTGGATGTCCCTAGAGGCGCATTTGTTACCTTGGTGAATTTATCACCATTCTGGGTCCAGACATTAGCTCAGAAAGCACAGTTGTTAGTCCTAAAAACAGCAGCATCTCTATGGAACAGACACACATTAACCAGGCTCATGAGACTGATATTTCAAATCAGATGCCAATTCATTAATTTCTAAAGGGAAGCAGGGCTTTGAAGCAGCCTGGATCTTTCTGTTTGCTGTTGAGTGCATTCTCTCCCTGTGGGCGGATCTACATGGGGGAACAGAATGATTTTCAGAGGGTTGCTTGGTGATCCACAGCATGAGTCAGGTGGAGAATGAACTGGGTGGCTTCAGAGAAGATGCTGCTTTATCTTCTCTGACCCTAGACCAGTATTTTTATTCCCAAAGAGTGCATTGGTGATATCAATGATTGCCTTGGCAAATCTCCTGATCTCTGGCTTCCTTAGCAGTCCAGATCTCTGCTGGTTTTCTGTGTGTGTGTGTCTACTGGTGCTTGAACTCAGGGCCTTGCATTCTTGCTTGGCTTTTTCATTCAAGGCTTGCACTGTAACACTTGAGCCTTCTCTTTACTTCTGGCTTTTTGGTGGTTAAACTGGAGATGAGAACCTCATAGAGTCTTCTGCCTAGCCTGGCTTTGAACCAAGATCCTCAGATCTCAGCTTAAAAGACAATTTATTTCCTCTTTTCCTCCTCTTAGAAGTGAGGGCACTCCTGATTGCCCCCAGATAGTATCTACAACAATGAAAATATAGGAAGGGGCTGCTGCTGCTGAGTAGGGGCTCCACTCTAGAAAAAAAAAAAAAAAGCCCATTCTCCAAGCATAGGTAGGTGTCCAGTCTCCCATGAATTATATACCCATATTTTCATCCAATGGCCATTTTCTGCTAAATTTATCAGATTAGTTTCTATCACTTGTAAGCAAAAACCATGAGTGGTACTGGAACCATCCCAAACACCTGTAAATCAGAAAACAAGTCTCCAATCCGTGTGCTTCAGGGCTGCAACCAAATGTGGAATCTTCTGAGCCTTCTATTCAACGCAGTGCCAGGTATACAGGTTGTCTCAATCTGGTTGATTAGGTCACTCAGTAAGTCAGTTCCCAACTGTCTCTACAATCTGTCCTAGGGGCAGTAATTGCAAAAGAATCACTGAGCTTGTTCCTGCCTTCAGAGATGTCCCACATCTACCTTAGACCTGACAAATCCAAAGTTGAAGGTGTCATCTTCCCTGCCTTCCTGTCCACCCATACATCAACTCAAATCTTGAATCCTCTGCATCAATCACAACCAATTGCTTGCCAACTGTGTGTAGTTTGGGGCTCTTGGACCACAAAGGTCGAATAGAAAGAGAGAGAGACAGGAGGCAATTGGGTAGGAGTAAACAAATACCAGGTAGAGGCTTCTAGATTCCCTGGCTGCTATCTTTAAGTTTTCCTTTAGGTGTACATCTCAGACCTTTACAGTTAGTGGGAAAGCAAGGGTTTTAATGAAGTTCACAGACATCAATAGGCCAAATTCTTTTTCCTTGAAAAAGAGGGAGTAAGGCTGCGATGAGGAAATAGGGGAAGGAAGAAAGGTAGATGACAACTTGACCTTGACTTGGAGAAAATGTATTCCAGACTACTGACAGCCCCCAGGCAGGCTCCAGAGATTAAGCCCCTCCAACCCCGCGTCCATGGATCCTATCACCTTCCCTATTCTTTTTTTTTTTTTTTTGGGGGGGGGGGGTCCGGTCGTGGGGCCTGAACTCTGAGCCTGGGCGCTGTCCCTCAGCTCTTCAGCTCAAGGCTAGCGCTCTACCACTTAAGCCACAGCGCCACTTCCGGCTTTTTTTTTTTTTTTTTTTGCTTATGTGGTGCTGAGGAATCGAACCCAGGGCCTCATGCATGCAAGGCAAGCACTCTACCACTGAGCCACCTTCCCAGCCCCATAGATATTCTTATCCTCGGAAATCCTCCCTACACCCTGGGAGGTTAGGGTCCCCATTCCTTCATTTTACAGATGAACTCGAGGCTCAGAATGTGTGGTCGAAATCTTCACTATTCTCATTCACTACCATTCGAGATTGGGCCACTAAACTTGAATGGGCCAACGTTAACGAAGCGATGACCGAGCTAACTCTAGATCCGAGCTGAGGGCCACCAGGTGGCGCGGTGGAAGTGCAGTTCCCGGAGCCCCTGCCGCAACCCGGACGCACCTGAAGCCGTCGGGGCGCGGGGCGGGGTGGGGAGGAGTGGGGGGGAAGGAGGAAGGGAGGGGAGTAGGCTCGCCGGGTGGGGCGAGGAGTAGTCTTGTTCTCTGGCCCAGAGCGGGCTCGACGGGCCTTAGGTCGGCGGGCGGGGGACCACCGGCGCCTCTCTAGAGTGCTGCCTCCACCAGGCGACCCATGGGCTGCGGGAGCTCCGCGCTCCCCAGGGTGCCATTTATTTAGTAAGGGGCTACAAGGGATGGAAAGGAGCTGACCGGCGCTGCCAGGGGGTGCGGCAGGCCCCACCTGTCGACTGCGGGGAGAGGGGCGGGTCAGGGGGCGGGGCTTGTTCCCTAGGGTCCACCCCCCCAGTCCCCGAGCCCGGGGCGCGCGACGAGATATAAGGCAGCCGGGAAACAATGCGCCTGCAGCTCGCGCTCCCGCGCCGGCCGCTGTGCTCGAGCGAGGCCGGGGCCGGACGGGCGCGCGCGCGGGGAGGGGCGCGCTCGTGAGTACGGGGCGCGCGCTCGGCGGCGCGCATGTGTGTGTGTGCAGGCTGCCAGGCTGCCCCGAGCCGGCGGGGAGCCAGTCCGCTCCAGGTGGCGGGCGGCTGGAGCGAGGTGAGACTGCGGGTGGCCCCAGGCATAGGCGCGGGTCCCGGGGATGGTATCGGGCCCTAGCGGGGGGGGGGGGGGGGGGACGGGGGAGGAGGAGGGGGACGCGAGTTGACTGCGGGCTGCCCAGTGAACGCCGCGCGCCCCCGCTCGGCCCGGCCCAGAGGGGCCCTGGGAGCCGCGCTCCGCTGCGGGCGGTGCTGGCAAAGTTTGCTTTGAACTCGCTCCCCGCTGCCTGGTCCGCGCGCTGGGAGCCGCTTCCCGGGGCGCTGTGACCCGGGGCCAGGCGCTCTGGGACGGAAGGGCAGGGCGCAGACTGCAAGCCCGGTGGTGGGGTTGGGGAGGGACCGGAGCCCGGCTAGCCGGGGGCGCCGGAGAGCCTGGGGTCGCCTCTTCCTTCGGGCGGGTACCCTAGTCTGCACGTCCCCGCTGCCCTCCCGCAGGGAGCGGACATGGACTTCGACTCCTACCAGCACTATTTCTACGACTATGACTGCGGGGAGGATTTCTACCGCTCCACGGCGCCCAGCGAGGACATCTGGAAGAAATTCGAGCTGGTGCCGTCGCCCCCCACGTCGCCGCCTTGGGGCTCCGATCTCGGCGCCGCCGGGGACCCAACCTCCGGGGCTGGTCCTCCGGAGCCGTGGCCCGGAGGGGACGAAGCGGAATGTCGGGGTCATTCGAAAGCTTGGGGCAGGAACTACGCTTCCATCATCCGCCGTGACTGCATGTGGAGCGGCTTCTCCGCCAGGGAACGGCTGGAGAGAGTGGTGAGCGATCGGCTCACCCCTGGCGTGCCGCGGGGGAACCCGCCCAAGGCACCCGCCACCCCGGACTGCACTCCCAGCCTAGAAGCCAGCACCCCGGCGCCTGCCACCCCCTGTCAGCTGAGCGAGCCCAAACCCCAGGCCTGCTCGGGGTCTGAGAGCCCCAGCGATTCGGGTAAGGACGACCCCGGGCCACCTAAAAGGGAGAGGGGGCACCCCCATGGGTGGCCAAACCTTTAACACCGTCTGAGGTCACGAGCATTGGCTCTTCTCAAGCCTTGCTATCACCTTCCCTCCCCCCTTTTTTTTTCTAGCTGAAGCTGTCGGGGTAGCCCCTAGCAGTGTCTGTCTGGCACGTGGGTGTGTTGGTAAACAGTTTGGAGAAGTGAGGAGGGAGCCAGCGTCCCTCAGATGGTGATTGGAGCCTCTGGGGACAAGGGAGACTCGGTGAGGGTTGGTGCTTAAAGAATAATAAATACTCCAGCTGGACTGTAGGGGATTTCTGTCCTTGGAAGGTTGGAAGAAGTCCCTTAGGAGTCACTCCAAGCTTGAAGCTGTTTTGTTACTGCCTTTTTTTTTTTTTTCCTCCTGGGAAACACACTCCGTTAGGGAGAGAAGAAGCTGAGGAGCTTTTTTGCAAAGCCAAAATCTTCATCCTTTAAAACAAACAAACAAAAATCTCCATCCCCTGTCTGCTTTACTTTAAAATGCCAATAGTTTCCTCCTGGAAGAGGAAAAGAGGGAATGATTTCCTATTGTACATTCCTTTACCACTGTACATCACTTGTGAGACCGGTAAGAGAGGAATAAATGTTTCTCTTTAACATGACAAACGGAGGCCTTAAAGTCAGGAAACCACTAGAAGTGAGCCTAGCTTTCTACCATCTAGCCAGCTTCTCCCAGCCCTCTATCCCAATCAGGCACTTCTTGCTTGATGTATAGCTTATCTGAGAAAGGTTATACCTCACCTGCTGCTTTGATGTAAGGTACAAAGATGTCTTAGCTTCCTCCTAATACATCTGAGGGCTTCAGCAGCTCTCCTGAGTTTAACAAAAGTTCACTGGCCCTGGCCCTTTTTCTGTGCCAATGTGTGGATGAGGTACTGAGGCCATACTCTCTCTCCAATACTTGACACAAATGCAAACCTCACTGAGGGCAGACTGGTGTCTTCTATCACCAGAGGATGTTCTCATCCCAGTCTCTTAGTCCACTCCACCCATGAGAAGTATTGTAGAGGGTACTCTTGTAGGGTGCAGACTGATGTTATTGGCACATAATCAAGACAGGGAAAAAAAACTAGCTTTGAAGAATAACTAACAAGAGTGTTTTGAGAATTTGGATATGGGGTATGGAAGTTGTCATGCACTAAAGGGAAAGAGTGAGGATAACAAAAACTTAAGATACTCCATCCTCCCTCCCCATTCACTATTAGGGTCTTTTTTTAGCCTGCTTTCTCTTTTCATCAAGAGCTTGTGTTTGTTTAATGGCTGGAACAGAAGTCTTGAAATCAAGAAACCAATAAAGGTGTATCTGCACAAGGGCTGGTGTAATAATAGAGTAGAAAGTATTGTTTCGGGAGTTTAGAAGTCTAAGACCCAGAACATCACCGAAGTGATAAGGAAGGAGATGTGGCTGATCTGGGTCTCTCAGTTTCTCCCTTTGCAATGCGATTGTCCCTCTGAAGATAGTTCCTTATCTGGGAGAGGCAGAGAACTACTTTGAAAAGTGAAGCAGGTCATAAATGATTTCTTCCTTACATGGATCTTTACCAGCCTTGAGGTTTAACACTGAAAGTAAAGGTTTGTGATAGAGGAAAGCCTTCTGAATCATTTTCTGACCTGTTCTTAAACCTGAACCTGTTTGTGGGCTTCAGGTTCACTCTCTGGCCACATGGCCTAGAACAAAATGCAACAGATTGCAAACAATGAGGGGGGGGTGGGGAGTGTGACTGACTGCAGAGCTCAGCCAATAGGAGCTAGGGGCTGAGTAAAACAACATTCCAAACACAGCCTAGCCAGCCAATCACCAGCTTTGGGGCCAGGAGGGCTGAATGGTCAGGTTTTATTAATGGAGAAATAATGTGATTGTCCACACAATGGAAGCCTTCCTGACAAAGGGCCTCAAGCTTCCTGATATGCAAAAGAGGCTGAGAACCAAGCTCTTCTCTTGTGGGGCCAGAATGCATTAAGGTAGCCTTCTGTGTGGGGGCTGCAAAATGTGGGAAGCAGAATGGTTTTTCTTCTAATTGTCTCTTCCCTGGTTGGGTTAATCTAATAGAGAGTCAAGCCAGGGAATGGTAGGGAAATGGCCAAGTGTCTCTGGGGGTTTCGATCCAGGGTTATTCTTCTGTTCCTCATTTTCTACCTCTGCTGTAGGTAGCTTGGAAAGGTCACTTGTACCTTTGTAAAGTTCCTGCAGCTCTCAGTGACCTGTGATTCCAAATCTAACCTTCTTCTGGTCCCAAGAAGGGGGTGGGGCAGACGACCTATAAATGATGGATGACTCGAGAAACCCATTGAACCCAGAAGCAAAACGCCCCTAAGGGAAACCTTTCCTCTCCCCTCTGTGGGTGAGAAGGACTGCCTGTGGCCCTCCCTTCTGTGCATATTCCTCTGAAAGGATAGCAGAATAGAGAGGTGGGAGAATAATAGGATTTATAACTTGTGAAAAGTAACAATTCCCAAGTGCAGGCTGTTCTGGGCAGGAACAAAGGGCAGCTCTGCCCACAGACCCCTCATTTACAATTCTGATGGGGCATGAAAGAGCCCGACTGGGGAAGATCTTTATAGCTAAACTTTGTCCCAGGCCGGTAGCTCTTTCTCTCCATCCCCTGAGTGGGGGAGGGGAGAGCTTGTGCCGACTGGGGGCTGTTGGCTTGGGTCTGCCTTTTGTTCTTTTCTAAGCCTTGCTGTGCAAAAGGAAATTGGAGAATATTTTCCTTCTTGTTTGTTTTCCCTTCACTCTGCCCTTACCTCAAATACAAATGAATCAACCACCTTTTTCCTCACTTCGATTTGTTGATAATCAACATTGAGAAAAATGTCTCTATGTAGCCCCTCCGTAGAAAGCTAAGGGTGTAGGGTTTGTGCATGCATTTCTAATAGATGCATTTCATCTCTCTTCTTGGACAGAGGGTGAAGAAATCGATGTCGTGACGGTGGAGAAGAGACAGTCTCTGAGTCTACGGAAGCCAGTTACCATCACTGTGCGAGCAGACCCTCTGGACCCCTGCATGAAACGCTTCCATATATCCATCCATCAGCAGCAGCACAACTATGCGGCTCGTTTCCCCCCAGAAAGTTGCTCCCAAGAAGAGGCTCCAGAGAGAGATCCCCAGGAAGAGACTTTGGAAAAAGACACCCCTGAGGAAAAGGAGGATGAAGAAGATGAAGAAATCGTGAGCCCTGAACCTGTAGAAAGTGAGACTCCTCCGTCTTGCCATCCTAAACCTGTCAGTTCTGATACTGAGGATGTGACCAAGAGGAAGAACCATAACTTCTTGGAGCGCAAAAGGCGGAATGACCTTCGCTCAAGGTTCTTGGCATTGAGGGACCAGGTACCCACCCTGGCCAGCTGCTCCAAGGCCCCCAAAGTAGTGATCTTAAGCAAGGCCTTGGAATACTTGCAAGCCCTGGTTGGAGCTGAGAAGAGGATGGCTACCGAGAAAAGACAGCTCCGGTGCCGGCAGCAGCAACTGCAGAAAAGAATCGCATACCTCAGTGGCTACTAACTGATCAAAAAGCCTGACTCTTTTGTCTTACAAAGACACGCGTTTATTTTTTAACTTCCCTTTCCCCTCTAGTAATTTGCACATTTTGGTTCCAGGCTCGATGGTCTGAACAGTAGGTCCCAGAATGCATTGCAGCCGGTGCACACACAATAAGGGCTTGCATTCTTGGAAACCCTGAAACCGAGCTCTCCCTCCTCCCTCACCAATGGTGAGTGCTGTGTCCTCCCTGGCGCCTCTGGCTTTCTCAGCAGGCAGCTGACTGAGGAGTCTTGAGGTCTGCCTAGCTCACTAGCTCTGAAGAAAAGGCTGACAGATGCTATGCAACAGGTGGTGGACGTTGTCAGGGGCTCCAGCCTGCATGAAATCTCACACTCGGCAGGCTCTTTGGGCTAGGAAAGGATGCTCCCACTGCTGTCTCTGGGGGTGACACAAGGACAGCTGGGCCTGGATGCTCTCTGAGGCTCCTTTTTCCAAGAGACACACGAGCTGTCCTGAGTGAAGACTAGCTCACAGACTTGATCAACAATGGACCATTACCTCACTGTCAGACACTTTACAGTAGCTGAGGAGTGGAAACTTTATATAATATATGTGTGTGTATATATATATATATGTATATTCATATACATATATATAAATATATATAAAATGATGTTGGGCAACACCTCTCCCATTCTCCCTCAATGCTGCCACCTTGAGAACATTTAAAGAGCTTGGCCTCTGAGTTCTTCAAGTCAGAGCTCATAGGGCCCTTTCCCCTGAGAGAGGGACCTTTCCACCCCCACAAGGGACTTTTTTTTGTTGTTGTTTGTTTCATTCTGCCTTTGTTATGCAATGGGCTCTACTGCATCCTTTCCCACAGGTCAGACATGTTTCCCCAAAACACAGGGAAAATCAGTCCTAGCCCGAGACCGAGGAAGGCTTGGAGTCCTGACTCTTGAACTTGTTCCTTACCCAGTTATTTCCCCAGGGCCATTTAAGACCCATCTTGGAATCTTAAGGCAGGGAGGTATAAGGCATCTCAGAAGGAAGCTCTGTACCATTTCCTCTTTCTTACCTGCCTCTTGTCTCCGTCCTTGACTCTATTTGAAATTCTACTGGAACCATGTAAACCTGTCTTTCTCATCATGCAACTCCAAGAAGCTTGCTGCTTTGCAAGCCACCAGCCTGGTTCTCTACCAGGTGATATGAGTCAGATCCCTTTCCCAGAACCTGGGCCTTACTAAGGTGCTAGGCAGAGCTTTTGGAACTCACCCATTGGTCCAGAAGGTGGACTCGCTTCCTGGTGGTTGTAAAGGCACCTTCAGGAGCTCTGCTTAACCAACCCTTATAAATTGCCCCAGCTGGACTTGCAGCTCTGACCCAGCAGGTGCCATGTGGCCAACCTCAGGAGCTGCGCAGCCTGGCCTGGAAGAAGGAGCAGCCCTTCCAGAACTCTGCACAGACAGCAGATTCCTGCTGGCTCTGGGTTAGACAGTAGGGGCAGGGTAGAGGTGGTCAGCACTATTTGTGGCTCTGAAAAACCAGCTGCTACTTCCTAACCTACTGTGTATGGTGATCTGTTTCTGAGGTTGCTTCCTAGCCTCAGAGAACTTCTGCGGAAATTTCAGAAATAGCTTCTGTAATTGTGGAAGCAGGATTTTTGGGAGCCAACTGACTTCTAGAACTGTCTTGAGAGTGTAGGAATGGAACAAGTTACTGATGTCTCACCTGAGTAGTTTCTGTTTTATAAGCTGCTGCTGGGTAATTTGCTGGGGGAGTTGTTTTGTTTTGTTTTATACTGTATTTTTGTATGCCTTTTGCAAAGTGGTGTTAACTGTTTTTGTACAAGGAAAAAAAAAACCTCGGGCAATTCTCTTGTTGCAAGGGTCTGATTTATTTTGAAAGGCAAGTTTACCTGAAATTTTGTATTTAGTTGTGATTTCTGATTGCCTGATTTTAAACTGTTGCCTTCTGGGACATCTTCTAATAAAAGATTTCTCAAATATGTCACAGTGGGGACAGCTTACACCATCTGAGTCTTCTGGATACAAGGAAAACTATTTCAGGGTAGCCACAAGTGACCCAGTCGGCTGCATTTCTCTAACCGTGTTGCTAACCTGGTCATTCCACTCTGGGTTCCTGAAATGCCATTTCAGACATGCCTAAACAATGTCAGCTCAGTACTCCATGAAAATGAATTCTCTAGTGAATTGCAAAGAGTGCTGAATTTGTGCTTCAGAAAGCTCAAAAATCCCAGCTCTACCACTTCTGGGTCTTTTCATCATGTCTTTCTTAGTCTTAGTTTCCTTACCTCCTGTGAGATAGGGATACATGTTATTTCCCAGGATTTTGCCCATAATCAACAAAGCAATAATAGACTTTGGACTTCTTTCTAAATTATGAAGTTGTTGTTGTTGTTGTTTTTGTTTATTTGTTCTTTGGGTTTTTTGGTGCCAGCTGAACTCAGGGCCTGGGTGCTGTCCCTGAGCTTTCCTGCCCACAGCTAGCACTATACTACTTGAGCTACAGTTCCACTTCTGGCTTTTGGTGTTTAATTGGAGATAAGCACCTCACAGATTTTCCTGCCCAGGCTGACTTTGAACCATGATCCTTAGATCTTAGTCTCCTGAGTAGCTAGAATTAAGGCTTGAGTCATTGGCACCCAGCTTTGCTTAGCTTTTTTGCTCAAGGCATGTGCTCTACCACTTGAGTCACACCTTCATGTCTGGCTTTTTGCTGATTAATTGAAAGTAGTCACACCTTCATGTCTGGCTTTTTGCTGATTAATTGAAAGTGAGAGTCTTTCAGATTTGTCTGCCTGGGTAGCTTTTGAACTGTGATGCTTAGATCTTAGACTCTTGCATAGCTAGGGTTACAAGCATACACTACGAGTGCCCAGCAAGTCCTATATTCTTCCAGATAGGACTTATCTTAGTGCTATGATGACCTTTTGCACAATGTCTTTTTTTGTTGTTGGTGGTGGTGGTCGTGGGGCTTAACTCTGGGCCTGAGCGCTGTCTCTGACTCTTCAGCTCAAGGCGAGCAGTCTACCACTTGAGCCACAGCGCCACTTTTGGTTTTCTGGTGGTTAATTGGAGATAATAGTCTCAGACTTTCTTGCCCAGGCTGGCTTTGAGCCTGGATCCTCAGATCTCAGCCTCCTGAGTAGCTAGGATTACAGGTGTGAGCCACCAGTACCTGGCAGCAAGATGTCTTCTGAAGAGTTCTCTCAGAATTTTTTTTTGTGTAATGTGTGACTTTTCTTTCTTCAATTAATGAAAGGAAAACTAAGACTCTCTTACCTGCACATAGTGTCACTGTAAACTTGTTGCAAATGAAAGGTGAGAGAAGCCAGGCACCAGGGGCTTACACCTGTAATCCCAGCGATTCAGAGCTGAGATCCTAGCTACTCTAGATCTGATTATTGCAGTTGAAAGACAGCCTAGGCAGAAGAAAAAAGTCTGTGAAGCCTGGTGCTGGGGGCTCACACTTGTAGCTACTTAAGAGGCTGAGATCTGAGGATGGTGATTCGAAGCCAGCCTGGGCTGTCTGCAATTAGCCACAATAAAACTAGATGTAGCTCTGTGGCTCAAAGTGGTAGAGCACTAACCTTGAACAAAAGAGCTTAGGAACTGCACTTGGACCCCGAGTTCAAGCCCCAGGATCCACAAAAAAAAAAAGTGTGCGGGGCAGGGAAGGTGGCTCAGTGGTAGAGTGCTTGCCTCGCATGCATGAGGCCCTGGGTTTGATTCCTCAGCCCCACATAAGCAGAAAAAGCCAGAAGTGCCACTGTGGCTCTAGTGGAAGAGAGCTAGCTTGAGCCTAAGAGCTGAGGGAAAGCGGCCAGGCCCAGAGTTCAGGCCCCATGACCGACAAAAAAAAATTAAAAATTAAAAAAAAACTCATCTCCAAGCCTCACCTCACTCTAGAACCAGGTCAACTTGCTTGAACATCAGGGAGGGTAGAGGAGGAGGAAGTAAACATGAAATCCCATCACTTTAGTTGTCCCTTGAAGGTCTCTTTTGGGCCAATATTCTGCCACTTACTGAGATTGAATGGAGCAAATGTTCCATGGCAGTCAACCACTGGGAAGCATTGATGTACTACTGAGTTGGATAGTCTTGCTCCAAAGAGGCCTAGTCTGGGACTGAACAGAAAATGCTGCTCGGAAAGGCTATGCGCATCATGGTCAAAGAAGGCTGCTTTGCCTTCACTAATCCTGCCTTATAGCAGAGACTTAGGTTGGTATAGACTGTCTGAACTTGTAGAGCCTAAGTAGGTCAAGAAGCTACCCCTTTTTTTTTTTTTTTTTTTAATTTTTTGTTCGTCATAGGGTTTGAATTTGGGGCCTGGGCACTGTCCCTGAGATATTTTGCTCAAGGCTAGTGCTCTACCACTTTGAGCTACAACTTCACTTGGTACTCTTTTTGTTGTTGTTCATATGGGGTTTGAACTCAGGGGTTTGAGCTTGTTTTGCTGTTCTCTACTGCTTGAGCCATACCTTCTGCCAGGCTTTTTGCTGGTTAATTGGAGTTGGAATCTCATGGACTTTTCAACCAGACCTGTCTTCAAGCTATATCCCCCAGATCTCAGGCTCCTAAGTAAATAAGATTATAGGCACATGAGACGTAGCCACCCAGGTAAGGGGTTGGAGGCTTGGTTCAGGTGTAAAGCTCTAACCTTCAAACAAAGGCCTCAGCCTACCAAACTTAAGTTCTGGTCCTGAGGAAAAAGAGAAGCTAGCAGGGTACCAGTAGCCCATGCCTGTAAACCTAACTACTAAGGAGGCTGAGATCTGAGGATCATGGTTTGCAGCTAGCCTGGGTGGGAAAGTCCTTGAGACTCTTAGCTCCAAGTAAGCACCAAAAAAGCCAGAAGTGGAGCTATGGTTCAAGTGGTAGAGCACTAGCCTTGAGCAAAAATGGTCAGGGGCAGCAACCAGGCTCTGAGTTCAAGACTCAGGACTGGCACCAAAAAACAAAACAAATTAAAAAAAATGGATGCCAGTGGCTCACGCCTGTAATCCTAGCTACTCAGGAGGCTGAGATCTGAGGATCATGGTTCAAAGCCACTCAGGGCAGGAAAGTCCATGAGACTCCAATAAAGCACCATAGAAAACCAGAAGTGGCACTGTGGCTCAAGTGGTAGAGCACTCACCTTCAGCTGAAGCGTGCAGGGACAGTGTCCAAGCCCAGAGTTCAAGCCCCATGACCAACAAAAAACAAAAAAACCACACAGCTACTCTTAATTCTTTTTTTTTTTTTTTTGTCAGTCATGGGGCTTGAACTCTAGGCTTGGGCATTGTCCCTGCACTCTTCAGCTCAAGGCGAGTGCTCTACCACTTTAGCCACAGTGCCATTTCCAGTTTTCTGGCGGTTATTTGGAAATAAGAGTCTCATAGACTTTTCTACTCAATCAAGCTTTGAACTCTTAATTCTTCTGTAAGGTAGCAGCAGCCCTCTGTGATCCTAAAACACAGCTTGGTAAGTAAGCAATATATGGAGATATGATATTTATAAAAATTTCAAGTTTAGTCTCTTGTTAGATAAACTTTCTACTTGGCTCCCCCACTTGCCTTTCCTGGGTCACAAACCTAACTTAGATGTTGGATTAAGCAGACTTGGGTTACTAGAATACTTTTTTTTTTTTTTTGGTGCTTGCCATAGAGTTTGAACTCAGAGCCTGAGCACTGTTCCTGAATTAATTTTGCTCAAGGATAATGATCTACCACATGAGCCACAACTCCATTTAGGCTTTTTGTGCTCTACTACGTCCCTTTTTAGAGGTTGTTTGTTGAAACTGATTCATGGTACTTTCTTCCCTTAGTAGACTTTGGAAAAAAATTCAAGGGCATTTGATAAAATGATAGGGCACTAACAGTTTGGCAAGTCTTCTTTTTCTTTTCTTTTCTTTTTTCCCTGTACCAGTACTGGGACTTTAACTCCAGCCTTATACTCTTGTTATGCTTTTTCAACTCAAGGCTCGTACCCTATCACTTGAGCCACGCTTCCTGTTTCAGTTCCGGCTTTTTGTTGATTAAATAGAGATGAGAGTCTCACTGACTTTTCTGCTTGGGCTGGCTTGGAACGGCTAGGAACAACGAACCTTAGATCTCAGCCTCTTGGAGTAGCTAGGATTATAGGTTGGAACCAGCAGAGTGGGCTTGATTTGCATATCTTAATCCTTACAATAACCTAGACAGTAGGGGTGGTGTCAACCCCATTTCACAGACTAGAACGTTGGTGCTGAGAGAATTAAGCCATTTGTCTAAACCCACACAGCTAGCACCAGCTACAGGGCTCTGAGCAGCAGCTCCTTTGACTCTACTTTGCAAAGAAACTGAGTGGGAATAAAGCCATCTCCTGGGGGGAAGGGAGGGTGTTTCTGGAATGTGGAGTATTTTAAGCTTCTTTCCCAGCTCATTTCTACAGACTCCTACCTCTATCTTTGTCTGAAAATAGCCAAGAGTTTATTCCTGGGTTTCAGAGAACAATTTCTACAAATTAGGTTTGCCTCTGAATAGTACACCTAAGGGATTTACACACCCAACTCAGCCTGAGAACAATGAGGGATGGCAGGGAAGCCAGTATTGATGAAGGAAACAGAGGTCATCCTCTCCATTAGACAATGTGAGGCTCAGGCAGATACTTAATTCCTGCCTCCATTAATCATTATTTTGGGGGAACAGACAGGTTCAACTCTCTTAGATGTATTGAATGTGTGTAAAGTGCTCCTGAGATCAGTGTATTCCAGAATATTTACTTTAGAAAAGGAAAGATAGGGGTGGGCTTGAGGATGCCTTTATTGATCTGGAAGATGATAGGAGTATGTGACACAGGGCTCCATTCTAAGGATAAGGTAACCAGTTGAGAGACGATTAATAACTGAGTGATGGGTGGGGTAGAAGATGTCTACATGTGTCAGCTAAAGTTCCCTTAGTATGTGGCCATTTCTTCTGTAAACCCTGTGGGCTGCTTTTAATGTCTATTTAGAACTGCTCCAGCCAAAGG